AGGGGGAGGGAGGGGAGGGGAGGAGGGGGAGGGGAGAGGAGCAGATGCCAGCTTCATCACCTGTCCCCTGGCCCAGGCCGTGGGGTCACTCACACCAGGTCAGAACATGGATTCCAACAGACTCGGGTATGGATCCTGGCTTGGGAGATGCCCTGGCTGTGTGATACCCCCTGGGTGAGTCACCCAGCCTGCCCGAGCCCCAGTGTCTACAACTGTAAGATGGGCATCCATCACGCTGACCAACAGAGCTGCCTGTGATAATGAACGTCAGGTGCCAAGGATGCAGATAAGGGGGCCCCATGGGGATTCTGCAGGAAGCCCTCAAATAAACCCTTGAAACGATTTCCACTAAACTCACTTTGAATTTTATCATTAGTATAAGCCTTTTTTTCTATCAAATACTTACAAAGCACCTACTATCTGTAGGCACTGTTGTAAGCACTTTATAAACATAAACTCCTTTAAACCTTTTATACTACTAATCCTATGAGGTAAGCATTACTATAATACCCCTTTCACAGATGAGGAAACTGAGGCACAGAGCTAATAAGGGCAGAGGTGGGGCTACAACTTGGACATGCTGTCTCCTTGGTGTGTGGCTCTAATCTACCAGACGGGGCATCGTGACTGATCATTAGGCTAATAAAACAACTATCAAACTGCTCACGCTACTGAGATTTCTCTCAATTTTACATCAGACAACAAGTGCAACACCTGGGAGCAACTTGCACACTGGAATAGAAGAAAAATAAATGGTTCCTCGATTCCTTAAAATCCTCTTCCTGAAATTAAAAAAAAAAAAACAAAAAAAAACACCCTCCAAAAAACCACCAATAAAAAAAATTAACCCCTGGTAAAGGTAAAAAGCACTTGTATCCAGACACAACATTTCCAACTAGGAGCCTGCCAACCATGACAAGCTCTGTCCAGCCCACATGTATTTTTTCAAATGTGTGGCCACTATTTTTAAATGAAACGATTCTGCATAAAAATAGATTCCTTGACTTTTCAAGAAAAACAGGAAGAAGTGACAACATTCCAATAAACTTCCCTCCTGGCAACAAGGGAAGGAACAGGGCAGGGGCGGGGCTTTCCTGGTAGGTTTCCGAAGGACTGGAGTTTGCGTGATTTAAACAAGATCACCTGCAACCAGGTGGGCACCCCTGGGTCTGCCTCCCTAACAGAACCTCCCAGTTGCCAGCGTTCTGACTCTGAGGCTGATACTACTCAAGGGTCTGAAAGAAACTGCTCCGCCTTTGGGGGGAGACCCTTTTACAATATCCCCACAGAGCGGTAAGCGAAACATCAATCTTATATACAATCCATGGACCAACGCCCTCGCCATGACGTGGGGCACACAGGACGCATCCAAAACTTTAAGATGCCTGACGGTCAGTGGTTACAAGGAGGGAAGTCTGGAGCCACAGCGCCCAGACGTGAACTACAGCTGTGTGACTTTGCACGTGTCTGTGCCTCAGTTTCTGCTGGAAATAACAGACCCCTTTGTATCAGAAGGGTCTCTGTGAGAACAGCTAATTCGTGAAAACTTCAGCCGGTTGCTGGAACAAGGTCAGAGCTCATAAGCAGGAGCTGCTACCAAGGCTGTTGTGATGACTCTGCTGCTGGTGTTGGTATTCTGAAAAGAGGAAAAGGAGGGTGCCCTCCAGCTCCATCCTTCATATCTGGTTTCTCCAGGTCAGATTCTCCAGGATGCTGTGGTCTCCCCACCAGTGGTGCATCCCCCTGCCCTACTTTTGATTCAATTCACATCTGGGTCAAACGCCAGAGGTGCCAAGAAGCTCACATCCAGAACCTTCCACAGTGCAGACCAAGTCAGCGGGACTTACCCAAGTTGTGTTTCATTTCCGAGAGCTCCTGCTGGTGCAGCCACTGGAGCTTCTCTATCTCAATCCTCAGCCTGCGAATCTGTAAGGAGAGAGAAAGATTTTTTACAAAGTGCACCTGGGTGCCTTTTACCAACAGGGCTCGGAAGCTCCAGCTCTCATTACAGGGTTAACGTCATGTGCTGAGGCGAAGAGAGGGCAGCCTGTGCTGGCCTCCCCACAGCTGCAGTAAGAGAGGTGGGCGCCAGTAGGTTAACCCAAATTCAGGAGAACTTCTGCTTCAAAAAGCCAAATATGAGTTGGCTGTTTTTTCCAAGAAATGCTCTAGGAAAAGCCACTTAAAGTAAGAAAAGAAGACCAGGTTTTCATAATAAATAGTACGTCACAGGTTTGATGAGGATTTTGGTCTAAAAATGAAACAAAAACAAATAAAAACAAGCTTTATTATATCTCTTACCTAAGATTTTGGGCAGGGTGGTGCATGATCATCCTCTTGAAAGTCCAAAGCTTAACATTTCTGGAAACCATAGGGTATTTTGGGGCGTAGGAGTAAATTTGGGGCCAAATTCATTTGGAGGAAGGAAAATGCAAACCCAATGTGAACTGATACAAGGCTGTTGACAGTGCTGAATAATCACAATGGCTTCTCAACTGGGATGATTTTTGCCCCCCTTCCTCCCTCCATGACACTGCAGTGCCTGGAGACATTATAGGTTGTTTCTGGCATCCCGGGGGTAGAGGCCAAGGATGGTGCTAAACGTCCCAGGTGGACAGGACGGCCCTCACCACAGCGAATCATCTGGCACAAATGTCAGTAGCGTCAAGTTGAGAAATCCTGATTTAACAAACACGGTGGGAACAACTGTACTGTTTCACTGCAGAAAACACTGTATCTAATTGCAGGAGGGGGCTGCACATTACCTCATGAAAATCTGGAAAATTCTGACACATATCTGGACCCAAGGTTTCAGGTGAGACATTACGGATCCATACTTTCCACTCCACGCCAGTTAAAATGAACAACAAGGAACAAAGTATGGTAGCAGGTGGGGGTGAGAATGGGGAAGTTTTTCTAAGTTCTTGTTTGACGTCCCAGCACAATGATCAAGAGGGTCACATCAGCAAAACTACCCAAGGAGATTCACCATTTCTCTTGGGACCTCCCTGAAACCTTTACATTCATGCAGTTCTCTGTTGAAGGCCTATAGGGACACCTTCCTGGAGACTTTTTCCTCTTCGTCTGGGTGCCAGCCTCACCCTGCCAGGTCCTCACAGGTCAATGGCTCTGCATGTGACTCCCCCCAGTTTTCCATCATGACCTTCAATGACCTCTAGAAGTCCTGCCATTGTCATTTCCCGTGGTGACCTGTTTGCATCTGGCTTGCAGGGAATTAGCCTAGGAGGGAAATTCAGGGAGGCTTTTCTTTTCTTTCTTTTTTTTTTTTTAAATAAATGGTCACTTCCTAAGTGGACATTTCAAAGTTCTAACCACGCTCTTCTCTAAGCAATCACCTAAATTAAGGAGGCAGGGGATACACATTCCTGGACAACAGGGATCACTTGTATAAAAAAGTCCAAACTTTGGGAGATGAAGGATCCAATTTTACATGAGGTCAAAAGCACTGCTGTCCAGTCTCACCAGTGGAATAAGAACTCAAGCTCTGGTTTTGGCTGTATGAGTAGAAGTGAAGTGACTGCACAGAGCAGGGTGTGTCTCCAGAGCGCCAGCTTCCTAGCAAAGTGAAGAAATACCCTCACCACCAAACCCCATCAGCAGAGCGAGCCTGGTGACCAGAGACAGGACCCGAGAGGGATTTCCAGAGAAAGGCTTCTTCACGGTGCCCCTACAGCAGCCCATAAAACACTCTTAGCAAATAGGGAATTGAATGTGTCATCTCTGACCTCAGCTATTGTGCTTCCAGTAGTGTTTTTAGAAAGGTCGTTATATATTTCCGTCATTGTGCCTTTTATTGCATCCATCATCTGAAAGATAAAAACAGAAATGATTCAGGTGATCACTTCCCTGAGGCTTTTTCTAGATGACATACATCTAAAATTTATCTGCATAAAGCAGTGGTTTCTCTGCTGGGGGTGATTTTGTCCATCCTGGGACACTTAGCATTTTTGGTTGTCATGGCTGGTGGGGGAGGGGGAGGGGGGGTGCCGGTGGCATCGAGGAGGTGGAAGCTAGGGATGCTCAAAACACCCTACCGTGCTCAGAACAGCCCCTGCAACAAAGTTATCCAGCCCCACATGTCCCTAGTGCTAAGGTTGAGAGCCTGGTATGAACCAGGCAGGGTAGGAATCACCCACAATTTCCCTGTCCCATATCATGGGAGTAGTTCACAGCCATAAAGCTAATTTATAGCCACAGGTTAAAGTGGGGAGGCTGAATTTGGCCCCAAGATGGTTTGGCCAGCACAGTGGGCTCAAGGGAGAGACTGTTCTGTTGCTGTTGGTTTTTTAAAATTGTTTCTCCTTAAAAAAACTATCATTTTACTGAGATATTAATATACCACACAATTCACCCATTTACTATGTACAATTTAATGGCTTTTAGTCCATTAGGTATTGTACATCCATGACCATAATCCATTTCAGAACCTCTTCATTACCCCAAAAAGAAACTCTGCTCCCCGTGAGCCTTCACCCCCCAATAACCACATCACCGCCCCCCAGCCTCTGATAACCACAAATCTGCTTTCTTGTCTCTAGATAGAATCTAGATTATTTCATATACGTGGACTCACACAATATTTGGTCCTCTGTGACTGCCTTCGACTTCGCAGAAAGTTTTCAAGATTTGTCTGTGCTGTATTCCTTTTTAGGGATGAATAATATGGTCCACTGTGTAGATCTAGCTGGTTTGCTATTTTAATGCTTTTGGTCGGGGCATCCACTGCCTTTCCAGTTTCTTTCCCATCTTCCTTTTCTTTAACTATTTGACCCCTGAGGGCATCAGCAAGTCTGTGGCAACAGCTCACGTCCACGCAGCAGGCACCCAGGTGGCTGCTGACGGAATGTGTTTGCAGGGTGGGTTTCTCTTCTATCTCCCACTTGGCCACTGACCTCCCACATCACAGGAGGAAGAGGAGGGGACAGGAGACGAAACTAGGTCTCAGATCTGGCCTGGCCGCTGCCGAGGACCCCCTGTGCTTTGCAGTTTGTTCCAATTCAGTAAGAAGGCAGGACAAACAGCACCTTCACATCTGATGCCCGAGATCTGTTCTCACTGTTACATCTTCTCATCCACAACTCTGAGCCTCGGTTTCCTCATGTATAAAACAAGGATAATAACAGTGCCCCCCTTGTAGGGTACACAAAAGGATTAAATGAGAAAACCACAAGAAGACTGTGGTTCGGTACCTGCTGAGGAGTGGGCAGGTTCTGAACCACAATTCAGTGTGGTTCCTAAAGAAATACCTGTTTGTCTCATTTTCACAGAAAAATTAATGCACGTGAACACGTAATTGCAAAACTGCTCCCAACCCCCAAAAGAGTAACCCCCAATTCACCCCAAAATGGGAGGAAAATGAATAAATTATCTGTTGAGATTTCCGCCCCCAGCTTGTGGCAGGTGCCACAGGGGGACACTGCCAGCAAAAACACTTTGTGCGTGGGCTTCCCTGGTGGGGCAGTGGTTGAGAGTCCGCCTGCCGATGCAGGGGATGCGGGTTTGTGCCCCGGTCCAGGAAGATCCCACATGCCGCGGAGCGGCTGGGCCCGTGAGCCATGGCCGCTGAGCCTGCGCGTCCGGAGCCTGTGCTCCGCAACGGGAGAGGCCACAACAGTGAGAGGCCCGCGTACCACAAAAAAAATAAAAAACACTTTGCGCTTTATGGTAAGTCACTCTGTATGGGCCTCCTTACCCACATCCATTTAAAATATTAAAACAAAACTGCTTTACAAGAAAACTTCAGAAAGTGGACGAAATTCAATACTTTACTAATGCCATAGTTACATTCCATTTTAAAGAAATCATGAATTTACAGACTGACCTTCATTCTTACTTCCAAATATAGCAAAGAAGCCAACAAAGAGCCCTTCTGCCAAAACACACAAATCTGGGTCTTCAACTCTGGGTCACCTCAGACACAAGAAAGTTCATCAGCTACAAAACTATGTCACTGTGTTCATTTTCTTAGCTGCAAAGAAAACGTCTGTCAAAAAGTTCATTCTTCAATTTTGCTCTAAGAGTGAAGGGGGCAACAGTAGGGGATGGAACAGAAATGGCTGCAGGAGCTGAGAACACTGGTTTGGTGCAAACCACTAGCCAGAGCCGCAAAGCATCCTCAGTTTTCTCTTCTGTAAATAGACAACTTGGACCAAATCAATGGAAGGTGATACAAAAAGTCAAATCAATTCCAAGCAGAACAAGAAGCCATTTGGGCAATACCAGACATTTTCTTAAATCAGTAATTTTAAAAATTACCCCGTTTCAATTTTCTTGCAATCCCACAATAGAGCACATTAGGAAGAAAGGCTCCGTTTGGTGCCATTATGTCTTTAACACTTTCATCATAATCTCTTTTTAACAAAAGGAAGATGGACTTAAGCTTCAAGCCTTGACAAAGAACAGGATCTGGTGAGGTCAGACTTAATTTTATTTCAACTAAAGTCAATTTAAATAAAAATACTAAGTCAATAGTAGTTCAAGGTGATGGACAGGTAAGACAAAAACTCTGAGGATGGTAACAAGTAACTAATACTTGAATCCATCCTGTTCTGAAACTCGGGGACTCTATAACAATTCTCGTGTTTTATTCAAGAGGGGGCAGAAATACTAAATAAGAGACAAAGTTACCCCCAAAAAGTGGAGTTGCTTGTAAAAGCCACATGTAAGAACAATCAATTTGTGGACACTGGACAGCTCTGCTCAGCAGGCTTGGTGTGAATTCACAAGTCAGCTCAAAGGCAGGTTAAGAGCACACTCACTAGATCCTGGAGGCTACCATCCAATGCCAGCTTGGACATTCACTGCTTATGTGACCCTGGACAAGCTGTGTGACCTCACCAGGTCTTAGTTTTCTCATCTATAAAATAGGTGTGCTAACAGTACCTGCCTCATCAATCTGTCATAAAGATTGAGTAAGTAACATATAAAACGTGCTTGGGACAGTGTCTGGGCCAGAATAAATGCCATGCAGATACTGGCTACTGCTAGTATCATCCTACCTAGTGTGACAGACACTCTGAGAAGGCTCCCCGTGACCTCAGCCCTCTGGGCTTCGTGCCCTGGTGTAATCACCTCCAGCCATGGGCTGGCCTAGTGACCTGCTTCTAAGCCACGGAATATGGCAGAGGTAATAGTCCGTTACTTCTGTGATCACCTACATAAGACTGTGACTTCCATCTTGCTAGCAAGCTTTCTCACCCCTTGCTGTCATGAAGCAACCTTCCATGCTGGGCAGGCCACAGCGAAAGGGACTGAGGGTAGATTCCAGCCAACAGCCAGCCGGGAACTGAGGCCCCCAGTCCAAGAGCCCTCAAGGGAGTGAATCCTGCCCACAACCACCTAAGTGAGCTTGGAAGTGGATCCTTCCCCAGTCACATCTTCAGATGAAATCTCAACCCTAGCTGACACCTTGGAGGCAGCCTGCCAGAGGTCCTGAAGCAGGGGACCCAGCCCAGCCAAGCCTGGACTCAACACCCACAGAAACTGTGAGACAAATGTGTGTGGTTTTAAGTTGCTAAGTTTTGTAGTGATTTGTTATGTAGCAACAGATAATACACCTAGATAGAATAAAAAGAAAATGACCAACAGAAATTCATGAGTAGAAAATTATATATACCACTGTCACCATTTAGAACTAAAAGATTCTACCTTTCACACTCAATAATAAAGCAACTCCTATCATGAGACTTCAAGAAGTCTAGAAACAACTATCCTCAACTCTTGTCACCCATTCTATCAACTTGAATACTTTACCCACTGGTAATTAATTAGTAATTTACTCATTACTAAAGAGTCAAGTATTATTACTGCCTACTTAGTAATTTACTAAAGACTCTTAGATTATTGTCATTAGCTACTATTAAGAGTTACTAAGGGGCTTCCCTGGTGGCGCAGTGGTTGAGAGTCCGCCTGCCGATGCAGGGGACACGGGTTCGTGCCCCGATCTGGGAGGGTCCCACATGCCGCGGAGCGGCTGGGCCCGTGAGCCATGGCCGCTGAGCCTGCGCGTCCGGAGCCTGTGCTCCGCAACGGGAGAGGCCACAGCAGTGAGAGGCCCACGTACCGCAAAAACAAAAAAAACAAAAAAAACAAAAAAAAAGTTACTGAGGATAGGAAGACACTAGAACTCACCAAAACAGATACCCCACATCCAAAGACAAAGGAGAAGCCACAGTGAGACGGTAGGAGGGGTGCTATCACAATAAAATCAAATCCCATAACTGCTGGGTGGGTGACTCACAAACTGGAGAACGCTTATACCACAGAACTCCACCCACTGGAGTGAAGGTTCAGAGCCCCACGTCAGGCTTCCCAACCTGGGGGTCTGAAAATGGGAGGAGGAATTCCTAGAGAATCAGACTTTGAAAGCTAGCGGGATTTGACTGCAGGACTTCAACAGGACTGGGGGAAACAGAGACTCCACTCTTGGAGGGCACACACAAAGTAGTGTGCGCAGCAGGACCCAGGGCAAGGAGCAGTGATCCATAGGAGACTGAACCAGACCTACCTGCTAGTGATGGAGGGTCTCCTGCAGAGGCAGGAGGTGGCTGTGTCTCACCGTGAGGACAAGGACACTGGCAGCAGAAGTTCTGGAAAGTACTCCTTGGCGTGAGCCCTCCCAGACTCCACCATTAGCCCCACCAAAGAGCCGGGGAGGCTCCACTGTTGGGTCGCCTCACGCCAAACAACCAACAGGGAGGGAACCCACCCCACCCATCAGCAGACAAGTGGATTAAAGATTTATGTAGCTCTGCCCACCAGAGCAAGAGCCAGCTCTACCCACCACCACTTCCTCCCATCAGGAAAC